TTGAAATGAACAGTATAGAGAACAAATTTTACTACATAATTTTCCAATTCCAAGATTATATGATCCTTTAGATGAATACTTACTCTTCAGAGAATCCTGCCACAAGAATATTTGTGTAGTTGATAGCGTGTTTGTTCTTTCCTAGTGCTCTTGTAAACCTGATTCTCTTGTAAACCTGTAACACTTTACTTAACATCTTGAAAAGGTAAGAGGGAGGTCCAGTCAATCATTCTGAATAATAAATACATTTCTGCATCATTTATAAGAAGTGAAGTTGCTTTATTGTTCCCTTCCCTACTTCCAATTAATTATGTGGTTATTGTCATCTTTCATTATAACTGGTCAGTGCTTATGAAAATGTGTTGTAGCCTCAGCCTGTATTGAATGGTTTAGGATAATAATTACTCTGAAGCTTCAATTATGTAGAGATTGGGATATGACATTCATTCTGGTTTTCTGGCTGGGGGATTAGTTCCTTTCTGGTCTTCCATTATACAGTCCAGAACTTTTCCTCTTGTGCCACTTCGGTTACAGAAACATTACTGAAAGAAAACTGTTGCATGAGAAAAAAATCAGGAACACATTTTGTTAACCATAAAAGATTACCCAAATATAAGGTGGTATGATTTCAAATTGTAGCTGTGTGCACCTTGGCCTGGAATAGGTTTGCGTTATCCAGCTTCTGCTGATAATAACACTAGCTGAGCTGTCACATTTATGTCTTGATCATTATCCAGTACATACCTGACCAGAGATTCTCTCCTCAATCCATAAGTACCTTACTTACTTTTCCTTGCTGTATTTCTTTGCATCAAATTTAAGAGGATTAATGCTGTCTATCAAGAGTACCTTTGTCTTCCCCTAAGTTACTGTGCTTCCCTAGTTTCATCTTCCCCTCCCACTTGGTGTGGTTTGACTTCACAGAAAAACCTCTCCTATATACTAGATCGCAGGACCTCTGAACTCAACGACCTAACCCTACCACCATCGCCATTACCACTTACCCTCTTTCTTTCTCATGGAGTCCAGGTCTTCTCATCTTGAAAAGGTTTTGATTGAGACCTAGTTGTCTCTGTTTGTTATCTTTCTTTGTCACCTCAACTTTTTAAGCAAATGAAACCTATAATTAATATTAGATCCTCTTCCAATGAAGAGTGACACAATATGATGTAGTAAAAGAACACAGGCTAAAGTCTTGACAAGATAATTACAGATTGTGGTAAATGATTCAAGGAAAATAATGTGAGGTGAGAGAGTAGCTAAAAAGAAGAAGTTAATTTGGATAAATAGTAATTTGAAACAAAAATTATGCCCAAAAGTTTCAAAATCTTGATGTCTAGGAAAATGAAGACATTTAAATGAAGATGAGAAGGCATACATAATCTGTTATTTATAAATCTTGTGGGATTTTTTTTTTTCTTTTTAAGGTATTTAGTACAGGGTCTCACTGCACAGCTCAGACTTGTAGTGATCCTCCTGCTTTCAGCCTCTCCAGTGCTGGGATTACAGGTGTGTAGCACCACGCCCGGTCTCAGTGGCTGGCTCAGCATGCCCAGGGACAGGGACAGCACTAGCATGGCATATGTTTCAGGGGATTGAACCCCGGTCTCTGCGCTTGCCTAAGCAGCCGCTTAGTCCACTAAATATAAAACTTGTTTTTAACAGTGCTGATTACATGATTTTTATTATGTTTAGATTTTAAATTCTCATTTAAGGCAGAACATATTTCTTAGTAATCATTGTTAGCTTCATAGTCTTGTATACCTATTTTCCCTTGTATTAAATGAAGAAAAATAACCTGAGTAGAATATTATAAGCATCTTATTGTAGTTGATTCAGCAGACATAATACATTCACATACCTGCCTGGCCCAGCAGGCAGTGGAGATAAATAGAGCAGCCCTTTCCTTCAGCGAACACAACTAAAACAGTTTTTACAGAAACGTAGATGGTTTACATTTATGAGTGACTTTATTTTGTGTGTGTGTGTGTGTGTGTGGCCAGCTCAGCCCACCAGGGGGCGGGGCTGGCTGGCATGTGGTGCTGGGGGATTGAACCGTGGTCCCTGTGCTTTGCTAAGGCTTGTTCCAAGTAGGTGCTCTAGACCACTGAGCCATCTCACCAGCCCTATGAGTGACTTTAAAGTAGGTCTACTGTAGCCATTATAGAGCAAGTTTGTGTCTCACAGTTGTAATAAGGTATTTTAAGGATATATCCTACCATCTTTGAAGTAAACATATTCTAGCAGAGTTTAAATTCTAAATAGAAAGCAAACACAAGTGAAGCTGTTGTTGTAACTGCTATGAGTTGAAAGTTATAGATCAATCTCATATAATAAAAGTTTTAAAAACATGAATTTCAGTTGGGTTAGCCATGAAAGAAAATTTCATTCAAGAGTGATAACTTAGGGCCAGCCAAATAGCTCAGCGGATTAAAATGCCTGCTTAGGCAGACACAGCAGCCGGGATTTGATTCCCGCTGTGCCATGCCATCCCCCTACTCCTGGGGTGCACTGAGATGGGGATTGAGACTGGGAGTGGTGGCGCAAGCCTGTAATCGCAGCTCTTAGGAGGCTGAACACAGGTGGATCACTAGGAGTCCGATGTACATAGTGAGATGCTATAGACCCTGTACTAAAAATACCAAAAAAAGTGAGAACTTGAAGCCAAGGATATAGCTCAGCGGCATGTGCCTGCCGGCAAGCAGGTAAATAAAAAAAGTGAGAACTTGTATTTCCATCTAAATGGATGAATATGAGTGGTATTAAGTGATGAAAGCTGACCTGGGGGAAACAGTTCATGAGGGAAGCACTGAACAGGGGTGGGATTCACGTCAAGGTGTATTTCCAGGACATGGATAACTAGGCTTGAGTGGAATAAAAGGTTTGTATTTGGAGCTAGTAAAAGATAAAAGCAGATGCACTGAGCCGGCCACTGAGTCCAGTCATGGTGGCACATGCCTGTAATCCCAGCACTGGGGAGGCTGAAAACAGGAGGATCACTACAAGTCTGAGCTGTGTAGTGAGACCCTGTACAAAAAAAAAAAAAAAAAAAAGATAAAAGCAGAGTCTTCTAATAGAAACCAAAATTTTTGCCTGTACACAGTAATGTTTCTGTAATCCTAAATTCATTTTGTCGTTTTGTATTATGTAAAACCATAATGTACAGATTTAAATTGTACGATGATTCTAAATAAGTCTTTACATCCTTAAATATGTTCTGTAAATTTTAAGGCCAGAGTCCTTTATGTCCTACTCAGGTTACATTAATGTTTTGTTTTTCAGTTACTTACACGCCAAGTCAATCATCCACAGAGACCTCAAGAGTAATAGTATCCTTCCTGAAATTTATCTGCGAAGTTCGAAAACATCCTTTTTCTTCTGCATTTTGTCTTCACATTATGTACAGCTTTCATGCTAAGTTCAATGTACAGTAAAGAAAATGATTTTGCATGACATTATAGTAGAGCTAGCTTTTGGTTTCTGAATGACTGAGCACTACAAGAAAATCTATCAGAAGCTTTCTTAATAGTAGGTTTTTTCTGATTGCTCGCTTATATTCTGTCTGCACTATAAAACAGATAAGTTTTGTACCTACCTCCTAGTTTAAACAGCAAGGTAAGAGACCTTTTTATTCTTCTCGGTGCCCAGGCTCAGATCGTCTCCTCTGAGATGATCTCTGTTCCCGTAAAGCACCTCTACAGCTTTCCCAGTAGTGCTAAAGGATATCTGAGCCTGTGTGACCAAAATCAGATGCAAGAGTGTTCAGATCTCCCATAGGCATAGGAAAACATCTCGTTTGTCCTCGCACATTTTCAGCCTAAAAAACCTTTAAAGCAGATCAGAGAGGCTAACTAGAACTAATTATTGTTTAAAACATACTTACTGACCTCAGAGAATCATAAACTGCTATATTTTTAAAGCATATCATATTACAGAACTATAGACACTAGATCTTGTACCTAAAATCTTCCTAATGATTGCTCTGATAGGAAAATGAGATACATTATTTTCCTTTACTTTCTGTGCCTCAGATATATTTCTTCACGAAGACCTCACGGTAAAAATAGGTGATTTTGGTCTAGCCACAGTGAAATCTCGATGGAGTGGGTCCCATCAGTTTGAACAGTTGTCTGGATCCATTCTGTGGATGGTAAGAATTGAGGCTGTCTCTCCATGGATTACATTTCTGACCCTGAAATGTTGCTGAGTTCCTTGAAAGTTTCCACTACTGTATTTTCATAACTTTCAATAATCCCAAAAGGGCTGGGATACAGCTCAATAGCACAGCGCCTTCCTGGCAAGTGGGAGGTCCTGAGTTTGATTTTTGGTGCCAAAAAGGCAAAGCAAATCAATGTTCACAACAGCGTTATTCTTAACATAAATAGTTTTAACCTTTTTATCTTTAAAAAGAATGTTATAGACTCAGTTTTAGTATTTCAAATAAAATACATGTTTTGTAAATGGTATTTAAATTTCACTCCAAATTGTTTTAAAATATTTTGTGTTCAAAATGTTCTGTTAAAAAAAATGTCTGTGTGTCCTGTTATTAAAAAAAAATTAATAAAAAGTTTACAATTTAAGGCAGGTGGTGTGATCTACATCTACTATCCTGATTTTTCTAAGAGAACTCTTCCTTCAGGCTAGAAAGAACCTTATAGCTACAGGACAGCTGAAAGAGGAAAGACAAAAGAAAACAAATTTCAACCACATCATCCTTGTGCTGTCTTATACAGCTCTTCTTTCTCTTTATTCCTGTTTCTATCTAATGGAAAAGAAGACAGAGAAATTCTAAAAGAACAAAACCAGAAATTTTGCAAGGTACTGCAGGAAGCCACTGCAAGGTCAGCTGTAGGAATCATTTGTAAACCCCTATTTCTCAAAGGGTCCATAAGACTGTGCAGGAGGCCCACAAGGTCATCTCCTTGTGAGACCAGATTTTCTTCATGTCCTTCAATCAAAACCACACATTGAATGCAAAAGCAAATATGAGGATCCTCCTGGCTGCTGCTAAGCCAGACACTGAGAATCACAGTACCATTCTCACTAAACTTTGTCTTTAAAAGTGTAGGGTTTTTTTCAAAGGTAGCATTGTGCGTTGGTCATGGTAACCCTATTATTAAAGTGAGCTACAATTTCTCATGAGAAAAAGTGGAATTAGAGTAGTTGGAAAGGTAGAAGAGAAGCTGTTGAACTTAGGAGATCTACACTCTGGTACTCTGTCCATTCTTAACCTGCTCCCCATTGAACCTGGTTGGTTGGACCTAGTGGGTTTAGGGCGCTAAGATTCAGTAATTTTAAGTAGCCAGGTTTAAAAAAAAAAAATTACATGTGTTTAACTGTGTTAATTAATAATTTAAATAAGCTAATTAATGGCTGTAATCTGGACCCCAAGCTCCTTGAAGGCACACTGCTGTAACAAAGATGGCAGCCTATCCTAAAAAAATGGGGCCAAATTAACTGCTAAGATTGAAGAGCCTCAGGTTAGTACAGACAAGCCAGTCACATGTTTCGAGTGTGTGTTTGTTTTAACTATAGTGGCATATGAGTTCAATCAAGTCTCTGTTTTTCTTTTTTCAAAAACCTCAGATTTCACATTATATATATAACGTAAAGGGGGGGGCAAGCAGCAAGATAGTTCAGTGGTCTAAAGCCCCTGCTTAAGCAAGCCTAGACAAGCCTAGGAACCACAGTTTGATCCCTGGCACCATATGCTGCACAAGCCCCACGGGCTGAGCCAGCCACAAAGTAGATAGATAGATAGATAGATAGATAGATAGATAGATAGATAGATAGATAGATAGATAGATGAGCCAGCCACAAAGTAGATAGATAGATAGATAGATAGATAGATAGATAGATAGATAGATAGATAGAGATAGAGATATGTTAGTATGTTATTATATAGGAAGTTTTATATTTTCTCCTAGTTACTTTTTGTTGATAATGGGATAGATGAGTTCATCCTTTATAAAATTTTTCTCAGCTGATACAACCTTCAGAAACAAGTATGGACCATCCACGGACAAAAAGAGAAGAGTTTAGTCAGAACTAAGTTACATGGGGCCGGGGAGATGGCTCAGTAGAATAAGCACTTCCCAGGCAAGTGCAAGGGCCTGAGTTCAATCCCAGGTTCCACTAAAAAAAAAAAAAAAAAAAGAACTAAGTTATGTGGTGCTCTGGATTATTTATAGCAGTCTTCATACCTTAGAAGAAAAACCTTTATAAAGATATTTGCAAATTAGTCATTAAAATGAGAAATAATCCTGGATTTCTTGTGAATAGGTCATGCACAACTTTTCACCAAACTATCTACCAACAATAGAGAAACCAAACTAAATTTCAAAAGACAGTTTTTCCTAGGAATGGTGGTGCATACTTGCAATCCCATCTACTCAGGAGACTGCAGCAAAAAGATTCTAAATTTTAGGTCAGCCTGGGCAACTTAGACCCTGTCTCTAAAATAAGAAGATCAAGGATGTAGCTCAGTGTTAGAGCACCCCTGGATTCAACCCCCTGTTTTGTTGTTTTTGTTTTTTTTTTTTTTTTTTTCAGAACCTAGGATTGAACTCAGGCCCTTGTGCTTGCCAGGGAAGTGCTTATTCTACTGAACCATCTCCCTGGCCCAACCCCCTGTATTATTTAAAAAAAAAAAAAGTTCTGATTCATATTCTGTGCTTAGCTGGGCATGATGGCACATACCTGTAATCCCAGCACTCAGCAGGTTGAGGCCAGAGAATCCCTGCAAGTTCAAGGCCAGCCCAGGTTACCAGCCTTGTACTCTGGCTTGTTCATTTCATCACAGTTATATGTAGCTTATTTTGTGCTATACTATCTTACTAAAAGTAACTATCAACAAAATAACACAAATGGACGTGACCTTCACCACCAACAACCTTTGACTGTCAGTCAGAATATGCCCTAGTATTGTTTGAGTCCCACCCCTAGTTGTAACATTGTGCTGAACTAGGTACAGTCTGGACCCTGAGAGATTTAAAGACTCCACACATGATTCTGATTTGCAGCTGTAGTTGTGTGCCAGTATTCTTTATCCATGAGAGATTCCCGCCTTACCCAGACTACTTAGCTTGTCTTGTCCTGCAGCCATTTTTAGTTAGTAGAGCCTTTGCTAGCAAAACTGATGTTTTCATGAAGTTGTCATTAATACCATTGCAACTTCTTCAGTTCCTTCCAGATGAAACAGCACCAGGAAATACAAGATGAAGGAAAAAAATCTCTTAAGCTCTAATTGTTAACTAGTCATTTGCTGTTTTCTCATGCAGTGGTTCATGCCTGTTTCACCCGCACTCTGGGAGGCTGAGCCAAGAGGAATGAGAGTTCAAGTGATTTACTGAGACCCTGCCTCAAAACAAAAAAATTTTAGAAGTACTGGGGGTGTAACACAGTGTAAAAGTCTTCAACCCTAGTACGGGGGGAGGGGGGCTGGTGGTTAGTTATGCAGTGCAGTGACTGAACTGTATCAAATGTATGGCAAATGTGAATTAGTCTGTTTCTTTGTACAAGAATCAGCAACCAAAAAATTATTTAAATCATTACTAGATCTACCTGCTATTGCTTTAGTTATTAAAACATCTATGGCCTGTTTACACCACGTATTTATTCCATGCCTTGGAAGGGGATGAGTTTATCATCCTTGAAATTCTCCTGTTATTTTCTAAGGTACCCTGAGATGAGGAAAATGTTTTGTGCCAGTAGAAACACTTCAGTTCTAAGACAGTTACTATAGTAGTTTCTCCTACTCCCAAACAGCACAGGTCTAGCATGTCTTTGCTAAGTTGGGAATGGCAAGTGGGAACTGACTCATAGGGTAAGTCATGGGGAGAATTTGAGTAACAGTGACAGTATTTATTCAGAAAAAGAATAAAATTATAAAATCTCACTGATGCCTTTTGGAGTCTTAGCCCAAACCACCTCTTTAAGAGTTCATAATGGGCTTTATTTGGCCATTAATAAGAGTTAATTGCATAGTAGGTTTTCAAGGATTACACATTGCTCTGGGAATTACACTTTGTATTTTTAGTCTTCATTCAGGTGAATATTTTTCTTCTTATGTTCTAACAGGCACCAGAAGTTATCAGAATGCAAGATAAAAACCCATACAGCTTTCAGTCCGATGTATATGCATTTGGGATTGTTCTATATGAACTGATGACTGGGCAGTTACCTTATTCAAACATCAACAACAGGGACCAGGTACATTTTTACCATCTTGGAGGGTTTATTTTGTATTTGTATAAAGACTCAACTGCAGAGAGGAACTCTTGAGTCCTAGGTAAACATGGAGGATAGATCTCTTGATCTTTGTGACCAGGTTCAGAAATCTTTTGCATACTCTTAACAGTAATAGCAGTAAATAAGGCGTTTGAAATATTGCAGTGAAGTGAAATTCACGATGTGCCTGAAAATTAGAGCTCCCTAACGAGCAGCGCGTCAAGTCTCCTGACCATAGCACAGTCAGACTAATGAGCTGAGGTAGCACAGCGCCAGGCCTTGACTCCTTTTGCTGTATCGTGCACAGCGCTATTAGAATGTGTACTTGACCATGTTTGTCTTTTATTAGGTTAAGAGTAGGAAATATTTATTGAGGGAAAGATAGCTTCTGCCTAAGACAGAAGCGAACCCCTTGCCTGTGTTTGTCATTATGGCCAATTCTTTTAAAATTATCTCTAGATGTGGTAGCTCACTGCTATGATCTTAGCACTTGGGAGGCTGAGGCAGGAGGATTATCATAGGTTCAAGGCCAGTGTAAACTACATAGTAAGACCCTGTCTCCAAAAAATGATAATAGCAGGCCCCACCAGGTAGTTCAGTGGACTAAAGCACCTGCCTCAGCAGAGCGCAGGGGCTGCCCTGCCCCCAGGGCCCGCTGAGAGGCAGTTGAGGCTAGGCATGGTGGCGCGCCTGTAATCCCAGCGCTTGGGCGGCTGAAAACAGGAGGACCAGTACAAATCCAAGCTGCATAGCAAGACCCTGTACCAAGTACATAATAATAATAATAATAATAATAATAGTAAAATAAAAATACTGTTTTTAAAAAAATTTAAGCCATTGAAGGACTATTATATTATAGTTTGATTTTTCTAAAATTAGAATTGTAGTAAAAGGGAATTTTTTTAATTTTTCCCTCCTAAGTTTCTACTTTTTGTCCCTTATGTTCTAAGCAATAGAAGTATCTACCTTCATGCAGCTGTTTGTCTTTTCTGTGTTTTCACAGTAAATTTACTTAAGCTTTTAAAACTGGCCAAGAAAAGAGAATTGTCTTTAATAAAAGTACGTTGGATACTTAAACATTTTAAAAATATGTGTGATTACATAGATGTGTGTGTGAAGAGACAGATTTCAGAGATTAAACTGCAAACCTACTACAGTAGTATATATAAGGGCTGGGGAGATAGCTCAGCAGCTTATGTGCCTGCTTGGCAAGAACAAGGTTCTGAGTTCGATCCCCAGTACCAAAAAAAAAGTGTATGTAAATATAATTAAGGAATATTTAGATTTTATAGTATGGTTTGCAATAGAATTGTCTGGGAAATTGCTTATAAATGAATTTACTAAAACATAGGGTCAGAAGGGCCAGCAAATAGCTCAGCGAATTAAAGTACCTGATTAGGCAGATGCAGGGGTCAGAGGTTCGATCTCCAACCTGCCGTGCCAGCCCCACCCCCAGGGTGCACTGAGAGGGTGAATGAGACTGGGCGTGGTGGTGCATGCCTGTAATCCCAGAGCTTGGGAGGCTGAAAACAGGAAGATCACAAGTCAGACCTGTGTAGTGAGACCCTATAGACCCAGCACTAAAAAAAAAAAAAAGAAAGAGCATAGGGTCAGCCAGATAGCTCAACAGGCTAAAGTGCCTGCTTAGACAGCTACCAGGGTTCGATCCCCAGCATGCAGTGCCAGCCCCGCCCTCAGGGCTCACTGAGAGGGTCGACTGAGACTGGGCGTGGTAGGACACACACTTGTAATCCCCCCACTTGGGAGGCTGAAAACAAGAGAATCACTACGAGTCTGATCCACGTAGTGAAACCCAGTAGACCCTATACTAAACACAGTTTTAAAAAGTGAATATACTAGAACAGATTCTAATTGAATAGGGTAGGGTTCAAGCACTTAATATTTTTATGTGATTCAGACGCATTCCAGTATTTAGAATCACCAAAGAATAAAAACAGAAGGGTGTGAACTTTTAATTTATTTCATCATGTTCTCCCAACTGAATGAAATGGTAGGTTTTATATGTGATCGATCGATCGACCGATCGATCGATAGATATAAATTCTGAATTACTTTTCTCATTGCTGAGACAAAATATCTGACACCCACAGTTAAAGAAGGAAAGGTTTATTTAGCTCATAGTTTGTAGAGGTTTCAGTCCATAATCATCTGGCTCCGGGCAGGGACAGGTTGAGAAGGCAGAAAGGCATCACAGTGCAGAAATAGTCCATGGTGGGCAGAAGGTAGCAGAGCAAGCAAGGGGTGAGCACAGCTCTTCCTCTCCCTTGTACCTTATCCAGGCTTTTAGGGCAGGTGGCACTCACGCTCTTAATCCTAGTGCCCTCAAGGCTAGCACTGCACCATGAATCAGTCTTAGCGTCACGCGCTCTGTACCCAGCCACCTACCATAAAACCCTATTGTGACTGCATGAGGCTTTGGGGGACATCTAGACACAGCCATAACTTGTTCTGTCCCTGCTCTCCATTCTCACCCTGTACTCTGAGGGGCAGGTTTTGCCTTTAAATTCAAAGCAGAGTACTGGTAAAGTGGTGAGAGAGAATTAATGACAGGCCTTGAGCTCATCACCTGCTCATTTTGCCTCTCCCGGTTGCTTGGTTGGTTGCTTGGTTGCTTGGTTTCCAATTACGAAAATAGAGATTGGACTAAATAATTCCTTTCATTTCTAAATATCAGAAATTTACCAAAATAGCCCTTTCAACTCTCTAGACCACATCTGGTCTGGAAGAATGACCATCTCAATGTTACTACTTTGTAAAGTACCACACCTTTCTTTTGTCCTCACTTTCCCTAGTTTTAAAAGTCTGAAAAATCATTTTTCTCTTTTTTTTCCCCTCTTTTTCATTCCATTTTCCTCTCCAATCATCCTACCCTTTCCTCTTTCACTTTAGAATAAAATAATAATATCCAGTTATTATTTGTATATAACAAATTGCTCAGAAAGTAGGGACTTAAATGAATCCTCAGTTTGAGTTGTTCTAATGAAGAAAGTTTGTATACGTCAAAGATCTCAGCTGAAGTAGTTTGACTGGGTGCTAAAATGTTCCACTTCCAATATGGCTCATTCACATTCCTGCCAAGTTGGTGCTTGCTGTCAGCTTGAGGCTCAGTCAGCGCTGCAGATGGGGACCTCAGAGAACACATGGGTCTTTCCATGAACACCTCTCATGGGCTGCTTGGTCTGTCTCACTAGCATGATGGCTGAGTTCTGAGCACAAGATCTCAAGAAAGAGAAAATGAGCCAGGTGTGATGGCACACCACCTACTCTGGAGGCGTATCCTGGAGTATCCCAAGGTTGAGCCCAGCCTGGGCAATTTAGTAAGACCTTGTACCAAAATAAAAAGCCTTGAGAATGTAGCTTAGTGCCTGGCTTGTACAAGGCCCTGGATTAAATTACCAGCACCATAAAAAAGTAACAGAAAATGATATGTACCACCCTTATCAGCATGCAACTTATTGTAACAAAAATATTTTTAATACCTACTATAGACAAAGCACTGCAACACAAAGGGATTCAAAGATTAATAAAGCAGAGGCACTATTCTCTGCATAGTCTACAGTTCTGTTGAGGCAGTTTTGTTTGATACTGAAAATAAGCAGCACCCCCTCCAGTAATACTGTACTCAGAGGAAAATGCAGTAGTACCTAGTGTATAGATTGAGACCAGCTAGTCCTAGAATTCTAAATCAAAGGACTCATTTTGTGTATGTGCATCACATGAATCTCCTGCCTGTGAATTTATGCACAAAAGACTGTTCCTTGTCCCTTCTTGCCATTCCTTCATCAATCAGCCCCCAACTCAGTGGAAATTCCTGCTTTGCACTCTGCACTCACTCAGTTCTATAAAACATACAAA